CGGTGCGGGCCTTTCTCTCCATGAGCCCAGAAGACTTTAACAGGAGGTGAGCCAGCAGCAGCATATGTTTAACAGGAGGTGGGTCTGTTGTTTCCGGTGCGGGCCTTTCTCTCCATGAGCCCAGAAGACTTCAACAGGAGGTGAGCCAGCAGCAGCATATGTTTAACAGGAGGTGGGTCTGTTGTTTCCGGTGCGGGCCTTTCTCTCCATGAGCCCAGAAGACTTCAACAGGAGGTGAGCCAGCAGCAGCATATGTTTAACAGGAGGTGGGTCTGTTGTTTCCGGTGCGGGCCTTTCTCTCCATGAGCCCAGAAGACTTCAACAGGAGGTGAGCCAGCAGCAGCATATGTTTAACAGGAGGTGGGTCTGTTGTTTCCGGTGCAGGCCTTTCTCTCCATGAGCCCAGAAGACTTCAACAGGAGGTGAGCCAGCAGCAGCATATGTTTAACAGGAGGTGGGTCTGTTGTTTCCGGTGCAGGCCTTTCTCTCCATGAGCCCTGAAAACTTTACCGGAGGTGAGTTGGCCTCCACTGTTCTACTATATTCAAATCACTTTTGAAAATTCCAAAGAGTGATATTCTTGTTCTTCTCCTCCAATGTATCTCTCTTCTCATTGGTCAGCTACCAGCCAAGTCTGGACCTTAAAGCCACTTAAGCTTCTTGTTCCCCCCATCCTTCACCCTTTCACTCCCACTCCCCTCTCACTCCATCTCCCCCCTCTCTCCCTTCCTCTCCCCATCTTCCCCTTACCCACCCCCCACTCCCCACCTCCCGCATCTCCCCCATCCCCCCCTTCCGCCTAAGGAGCCCCCTCCTCTTCCCCCTCCTCCACTCCTATTCCTCACCTCTCCCCCTTCTCCCCCTCTCCCCACACCCCCCTCTTCCCTTCCTCTTCCCCCCTTCCCCCGTGCAGCCTAAGGAGCCCTCTCCTCTTCCCCCTCCTCCGCTCTGTCTTCTCATTGGACGACCGTCAGCCAATCCCAGCCCTCCACGTGTCACTTGGTGACGGATTCTTGGAGTTCGTTGCAGCCAATCAGAATCCAAGATTCAGCCTAAATGACAATCAGAACCTGATTTCCAGTCTGCCGCCCAATAGCGCTAGCAGCAAATCTGGCCTTCACCTGTACCCTCCCTCCCCATCCTCCTCTCACTCCCCCTCTCTTCCCCTCAAACCCCCACACTCCACCACTCTTTACTCCTCTCCTAAGCATCACCTTCGAAACCCCCTTCGGACCTCGTATACACACTCCCCCAATTCTCCCCATGCTCCCGCCTATAGCCGCTCCCCCCGATTCACCCCTTCCCCCCGATTCACCCCTTCCCCCCGATTCACCCCCTCTCCTCGATTCACCCCCACCGCTCGCCTTAGTTCCCCCCACCACTCCCTCCACCGCTCCCCCACCACTCCTCCCACCACTCCCCCTACTACTCCCCCCAATTCTCCTCCCCCCGCCTATCCGTCCGCTATTCCTCCCCCTTCGCCTCCTCCCCCACTTCCTCCTCCCAACCCCCCCTAGACCTCCCTCTCCTCCCCATTCCCCCCCTGCCGCCCAACCCGCTGGCACTGTTGAGATTCTCCGCCGCCCAGATCAGATTCCCTCAGCCAGTGCTGGATACTTTTGGGCGGCTGCAGCTCCTGAAGCCGCCCTTTCTCTTCCCTTCTCACTCCTCCCCTCAAACCTCGGACACTACACCACCCACTACCCGTCACTCACCCTCACTTCCTCACTCACCCTCCCTCAACTCCTCCCCCTCCTCCTCTCCCTCCTCCTCTCCCCCTCTCTCCTCCTCCTCCCCCCCTCCCTCCCCTCGCTCCTCTCGCCTCTCCACCTCTCTCGCCCGCCGTTTGCGACCCCTCCGCATCCCCCACCCCAACAACCCATCTGCAAACCTCCCCACCGCTCACAACCACACTCTGCAAGCCTCTGCTGAATCGCCTGCTGCTGCGACACCAGCAGCGTTATCCCCCTACGCCTGGAGGGCCCCTGGCACGCCCTTCTTTGCCAGCTCTGTGCTCTTCCCCTCCTCGCCACGCCTGGGTCTGGGGAGACGACACAGACAGCAGCAGCAACACAACTTGAACCACCAGCAGCAGCAGCAGCAGCAGCAGCAGCAACACAACTTGAACCACCAGCAGCAGCAGCAGCACCAGCAGCAAGGGCAGGAGCAATTGCAACAGCTAGGGCAGCAGCAGCAAGGTCAAGGCTCAGTCCCTCAAGTCCTTGACACCCCTACTTCCCCCTCAACACCCCCCATCTCTCTCATCCCTCCTCGTGAGTTTTGGTCTAGAGAAACCCTCCGGCTTCCAGGTCAGGGAAAGTGGATGGAGCAGCAGCACCAGCAGCAACAACAACAACTACGGCAGCAGCAGCAGCAGCAGCAGCAGTTAAGCGGAGAGGGATTGGGTGTTTCTGGCCCTCAGGCTGGTTGGCTGTCCCTATCCAAGCGGTTGTTGGGTGCTGCATCACGAGAAGCCTTGGGAACTCCAGCTGGTGTGGTGCTGGATGCTGAAACTTCCGATAACAGTACACCCGCGTCTCTACACTCCAATCATTCGTTATCATCAAGCTCAGATGCAATTATTCCAAATGCGAGTTTATCCGGACAAGGGGCTGGTGTGGATGTGACTATAGTGGAGGCCGGTATAGGAGAAGTAGCAGTGGAGGAGGAAGAGGCGTATAGAGGCCCCCTGCCAGTTGCAGTGCGCCTTGCTGTTAGTGAGGATGGTCGACGACTCTCTGTAAGCAAAGTCGGTAGTGAGTGCTTAGTTGCATGTGCGAGGAATGATATAGGTAAGAAGCAAGGGAAGGCTAGAGGCGGAAATGGCCGGCGAGGGGGTCAAAGCAGGGATAAAGGGCATAAAGGGAAGCGAGAAAATGAGGAGAATGGCACTGTAGAGCTTAGCTCTTGTGTGGAAGAGGTGGAGGAGATTGACTTAGGACCCGGGACATTTCTCACCAGGCTAGATATATCACCTAATGGAATCTTTCTAGCTGGTAGGTTTTTACTGACCTCTTAGTGAACTTAAGTTTTCAAATATATATATTTACCATCCATATTCGTCCCTCCTTTGTCTACACGAGGTCTTAATGCTTGCTGAGCAGTCTTGCCGAGCGAGTAACGGCATCTTTCTGCTTACGATACTGTACAATTCCGAGAAGGGCCATTTTCAGGTGCAATCTCCATAGTACAGAAAATGTGTTCAGGTGCGATCCCAATCTGTTACGGCACTGTTGCGGCTTTATACACGTGCCACAACAGTACCTTCTGCAGACTCGCCACGCACATCTTGTTCAGCTGACGGATTGTCTCTGACACATTCTGACGGAAGTCAAACATACGGCATGGCCAGACCAAACTACCCGAAGCTGTTAAGGCCACCCGAAAAAAAAACAAAATATAACCCCTAGAGAACCTGGAAGCAGTTTCGGTAGGGATCGACCCTAAACACCGGAACCTATCTGGTGTTTAGGGTTGATGCCTCCCGATTCGATTGCGTCCCGATTGGGTTTCATTTTTTTGTCACGAAAACCTTAAGGAGGCATCAACCCTTAACACCAGGAGTTCACGTGTTTAGGGTTGATCTCCCAAAAATGCTTCCAGGGTCATTAAAATTTTTAATAATTTTGGGGTATGTCTTAGCAATTCCTGGTAGCCTCGGTAAACGAAGCGTGTGTGGCGCATTAATTTCCCATCAATTTCCCTCAGCCAGTACAGATTTGAGTGGCGTATCTTTTCAAGGCTCTGTTCCGGCACGCGTGTACAGTACGCAACAGAGACTTGGAAAGATGCGCCGGGATCACACCTGAACACATTTCCCCAATTGTAGAGATTGCACCTGAAAATGGCCCATTTCGAGAACATCGATGTCGCGTCCGATTGGTTGAAAAAATGGCGGGAAAGGGCTGGCCAGACGAGAAGCAACCTGACGGCATATCCTGGAGGAGAAATATGGGGGGAGGAGAAACACGGTGCCCGTCGAATCGCGATTGTCACGGAGTTTGATGCGGCTCTGTACGTTTTAACATAAGTCAGGATGCATTGCGGTTGCGAGTCCATATAACCCCTCCCCTCAGGTATCGACCCTCGAGATTGCCATCTTGAACTGGTAGGTTCATTCGACCAGAATAGGAAACCGAAGATGAGGCTTTTCCGAGTGCTTTCGTAGTTCCACAACATAATCGATGACTAGTCGACGAGGTAGGCCATTGACTTAGGCACGAGGTATTAGGATTCCACGGGCAAAGGCGGAACCTATCGAGCGAGAAGCGACGCTGAGTCACACTGGTGGCTCGCGAGATTTGCGAGTTCCAGTGCCCTATTTCAGCAATCGCTCGTGGGCTCGTAAGTTCTTTAGGAGCAGCCATAGGGAGTGAAAGTAGCCGTCGTGATTAGGCCTGTGTTTCCTTTTGGAATCAGTGAGCTCGCATTTATGATCCTTGGCTTGTATGAAGAAGCTGACAGGCAGCGGCACAGCGGGATTTCGCAAACGATTTGCTAGGATCTTCCACCGACGTAGTGAGCAGCAGCGGTAAATTGGTATATTCTCAACGATGTAAGTGGTCCTGGTAATTTAGCACGCACATTTGCGTTATGACGCTGTTTCTAGTCGGCTGCGCGTCTATTTCTCCATCGATGCGAATCTCCGTATGAAAAATCGCCTCCTTTTAACTGCTTAGCAAACTATCGTCGCCGCTTTAAACGATACCACGACTGTATCCTAGCAGCATCCGGACTTCAACATCCAGTGCAGAAACATGGATTGGTCAGATCGTGGATCCGATACGCGTCCTCTCTTCGCCACCTCGTCGCCTCGCAGCCCGAAGCGCTTCGGCGCGTTCTCCCGCTCCAGATCCTCCAAGGAGCGAGAGAGGTCGCGAATCCGACGGTCGGCGTATCGTTTCGACGGCCTGGGCTCGTTTGAGCGGTTGGATTGGGACCGTCTGAAGGATTTCGAGAAGGGTCGGTTGTTGGGGGGGACTCCATCGCAACTGCAGCAGATGACGACGATTCAGTTACAACAACCTCAGCAAACCCACTTCCACCAGCACCACCAGCACCAGGTGCAATTCCAGATTTCTCCTCGAGAATCAGATTCGACGCCGCTAGCGGAAAATCCTCTCCGTCCGATTTCCAGCCGAACAGGCTCAGCCGGCTCATTGGACGCCGCAACGGGATTTTATCTTCCCCACCCCGCGCTCGCCATCCCCACGGCTGTAGCAGACCCTGCTGCGGGCGTCGCTTCCGCGGCTGTGGCGCCCGTCGCTACAGCCGCCGCCGCCGTCGCGGGGCTCCTGACGCAGCCAGGTGGCGAGTTCTCGTGGTTCCACGTGGAGATCCCGCGATCGTGCCCGTCGCTTTCCGCCGCGGCTCGCCAGCTCATCACGCATCTGCACCCTCCGCTCCAGCTGCAGGAGATCACCACGCTTCTATCCAACGGTCCGTATTGCGGCACGCTCGGCGGCGCGCTATTCGTGCGGATTAACTCCCCGGGGCCGATGGACAGTCCGTACACCTTTAAGATCGCGGCGCGGATCACGCCGTTTGGAATAGTAAGCGTCGCGTTGGGGCCCGTGCCGCGTTTAGAGCTGCAGAGAGAACCGGGAGGACTGTTAGGGTCGGAGGTTGGATTAGGGTTGGCGGGGCTGGTGGCTAGGTTGCGCGACGACGCTGCCTCAGCTGCCGCAGCAAATGGTGCGGGTTCTGCTGCAGGTGCTGCCGCTGGTGCTGTGGCTGGTGCTGCTGCTGGTCCCGCCATTGGTGTTGCTGGTTCTGCTGGTATCCTTGGCGGCACAGACAGAGTGACTGACGGAGGCACTGTTTTGAGGCGACGGTCGCCGAATGCGTCATTCCGGGCTATTAACGAGGGCGAATCAGAAAGCGCGGCGCTTTCTGTTCTCGTTAAAGGCACCAGCGCTACAGTCACACCCATTACCAGCGTGCCTGGCAGCCCGTCCGACACGCCCCGACCTCTCAAAATCAGCGTAGGGGCAGGATCATCCTCGATAGAGACTTCCGCGATAGCAGCAGCAGTAGCAGACGGGATGGGGACTACAGGAATAAGTGGAGCAGGAGGAGCAACAGTAAGAATCGAGACTGCAGCCGCTTCTTTCAGGCCGTCACACTCGGAGATTGAAGAGTGTGTGACAATAGAGGGCGGTTCACTTCCCTCCAACGCAATAGAGGGGGGATTGCCTGCCTCCGGCGCAGGCGTGAGTCAGGTCAAGAGCGAGGGGAATTTGGATCGGAGGGGGCTGTTGCAGGGGCTAGGCAGCAGAAGCTTTGGAATGGGCAGTAGAGGCTATGCTAGTGATACTGGAGGGGGAGGAGTCAGATGGGGGGCGGGTGCAGGTTTTTCTGGTGCAGGCGCTTCTGGGTTGGGTTCTGCTGGGGGAGGTGCATCTGAAAACGCGGGAGGGGTTGGGGGGAAGCGGAGCGGCGGGGTTTTGGCGCGAGTGGGGAAGGTTTTGGAGGCAATGACGCCGAGGAGGAGGGAGGTGAGGGAGGAGCAGGCGGAAGCACACACAACTATTGATGTGGACGATGCGGTGAGTGCGTGGTGTCTGGTAGCACGTCTCGCCTTATGGCATTGCATTGCATTGCACGCTGTCTGTAGGGAAGGTGTTGGGGGCAATGACGCCGAGGAGGAGGGAAGTGAGGGAGGAGGTGGCGGAAGCACACACGACTATTGATGTGGACGATGCGGTGAGTGCGTGGTGTCTGGTAGCACGTCTTGCCTTATGGCAGTGCATTGCATTGCACGCTGTCTGTAGGGAAGGTGTTGGGGGCAATGACGCCGAGGAGGAGGGAAGTGAGGGAGGAGGTGGCGGAAGCACACACGACCATTGATGTGGATGATGCGGTTAGTGTTCTGTCAATGCTGTGGTTACCCCTTGATGTTCGTCTTGTAGTGCATGGTGCCATATTGAGTGGGGAGGGTGTTGGAGGCGATGGCACCAAGGAGGAGGGAGGTGAGGGAGGAGCAGGCGGATTCGTGCACAGACCATCGATGTGGACGATGCGGTGAGTGCCCACTTAAATGCAGAATGACTGGTCCCACCTCTTACCCTTTTCCTCCTTATGTCTCACCTGCCCCTTGTGTTTCCCAGGAGCTAGAGGAGCTGCTGCGAAAATGCCATCCAAAGCACGCCGAGAGCTTGATTCCAGTGACGGTCTTTGGGCTGCTACAGTAGAATCTTCTCTCCTTATCCCAGTGTCTCACCTGTTCTCCTGTTCCGTCTTTTCTCTCCAGGAGTTGGAAGAGCTGCTGCGGAAGAGCCACCCAGAGAACGCGGAGTGCTTGATTCTCGTGACGGTGTTTGGGCTGCTGCAGCACATCGTTGAGATGCACTGAGTAGATTTTTGAGGCGCCTCAAAAATCAACACCGTTGAGATGCACATGCCGATGGAGCATTTTGGGACGCGCCTAAAAAATGCACATGGAGCATTTTGGGAGCTCTGACTGACTGACTGATTGACTGACTGACTGACTGACTGACTGACTGACTGACTGTGTTTGAGCATGCCGCACCTCTGACTCTTTCCCTTCCCTCCCTGGTGTCTCGCCTCTTCTCCTCCAGGAGTTGGAAGAGCTGCTGCGGAAAAGCCATCCAGAGAACGCCGAATGTCTCATCCCCGTCACAGTGTTTGGGCTGCTGCAGCACATTGTGGAGACGCACATGGAGCACTTAGAAGATGTGGTGGTGGAGGTGGAATGCATGCTGGACCAACACGAGAGAGACCTGGATGAAGGTACGGTGTCGGATGTGTGTAGCATGGTGGGCTGTAAGTGCCTATGCTGCAGCAAGGCAGCACACACACATTGTTGAGACGCACATGGGGCATCTAGATGATGTGGTGGTGGAGGTGGAGTGTATGCTGGACCAACACGAAAGAGACTTAGACGAAGGTGCGTACTGCACACGTGAATCAGTGTAGTGCTGCAGTGGAATGGGGTGCTGCCGCAAACACACACACATTGTTGAGACGCACATGGAGCATCTAGAGGATGTGGTGGAGGAGGTGGAGTGTATGCTGGATCAACACGAAAGAGACTTAGACGAAGGTGATCATGAATTGCACTGCACAACAGTACAGTACATAGGAACGCACCTGGGGCACGTGGACGATGTGGTGGAGGAGGTGGAGTGTATGCTGGACCAACACGAGAGAGACTTAGATGAAGGTGACTTACACATGATGCAGTAACTCACAATGCGTTACTGTACGGTACAGCTCATTGCTGCTCTCTCTCCTTACGCATTGAAGGAGAGAGTGAGAAAGAGAGAGTGCTCCGCTCTTGTCCCTGCTGCTAATACGACGGTCTCTGTAACCATCCATCCCTACCCTGACCCCTTTTGAGGCGCCTCAAAAGTCGTCTCTTCTCTTCTCCGGCAATTTCTGAGGCGCCCCAAAAAGAGAGCGCTCCGCTCTTGTCCCTGCCGCTAAGATGACAGTCGCTGTATACCATCCCTACTTTTGAGGCGCCTCAAGAAAGAGAGTGCAACCTCTTGTCCCTGCTGCTTAGATGACGGCCTCTGTATACCATCCCTACCCTGTCCCCCACGCCCCCACGTCCCCTTTCCCCTCTGTGTACCTCTCTCAGGCCCTGACCGTCGCCTACGGTTACTCAAGGATAGAACCTCCCCCAAGCTCCACCTGGACCTGCCAAGAGAGCAGCACTGTTTACCCTGCTTGTTGAATCTCTCTGTGTGTAATTTCTACCCTGGTTCCTTCTTATTCCCGTCTGTCTACATTCTCAGGTTCTGACCATCGTCTGCGGTTACTCAAGGATAGAACCTTTCCCAAGCTGCACCTGGATCTGCAGAGAGTGCTGCAGTCGCTGGCTGTTGAATCTCTGTGTACAATCCCTACCCCACCCAACCCACCCCTTCTTATTCCCATCTGTCTACATTCTCAGGATCTGATCATCGCCTGCGGTTACTCAAAGACAAGACCTTCCCTAAGCTGCACCTGGACTTGCAGAGAGTGCTGCAGTCGCTGTTTGTTGTACCTCTGTATGTGATTGTTACCCTAATTCCCTCTTTTCCTTCACTACACTACTCTCAGGCTCTGACCATCGTCTCCGGTTACTCAAGGACAGAACCTTCCCCGAGCTGCACCTGGATCTGCAGAGAGTGCTGCAGTCGCTGTTTGTTGTACCTCTGTATGTGATTGTTACCCTAATTCCCTCTTTTCCTTCACTACACTACTCTCAGGCTCTGACCATCGTCTCCGGTTACTCAAGGACAGAACCTTCCCCGAGCTGCACCTGGATCTGCAGAGAGTGCTGCAGTCGCTGTTTGTTGTACCTCTGTATGTGATTGTTACCCTAATTCCCTCTTTTCCTTCACTACACTACTCTCAGGCTCTGACCATCGTCTCCGGTTACTCAAGGACAGAACCTTCCCCGAGCTGCACCTGGATCTGCAGAGAGTGCTGCAGTCGCTGTTTGTTGTACCTCTGTATGTGATTGTTACCCTAATTCCCTCTTTTCCTTCACTACACTACTCTCAGGCTCTGACCATCGTCTCCGGTTACTCAAGGACAGAACCTTCCCCGAGCTGCACCTGGATCTGCAGAGAGTGCTGCAGTCGCTGTTTGTTGTACCTCTGTATGTGATTGTTACCCTAATTCCCTCTTTTCCTTCACTACACTACTCTCAGGCTCTGACCATCGTCTCCGGTTACTCAAGGACAGAACCTTCCCCGAGCTGCACCTGGATCTGCAGAGAGTGCTGCAGTCGCTGTTTGTTGTACCTCTGTATGTGATTGTTACCCTAATTCCCTCTTTTCCTTCACTACACTACTCTCAGGCTCTGACCATCGTCTCCGGTTACTCAAGGACAGAACCTTCCCCGAGCTGCACCTGGATCTGCAGAGAGTGCTGCAGTCGCTGTTTGTTGTACCTCTGTATGTGATTGTTACCCTAATTCCCTCTTTTCCTTCACTACACTACTCTCAGGCTCTGACCATCGTCTCCGGTTACTCAAGGACAGAACCTTCCCCGAGCTGCACCTGGATCTGCAGAGAGTGCTGCAGTCGCTGTTTGTTGTACCTCTGTATGTGATTGTTACCCTAATTCCCTCTTTTCCTTCACTACACTACTCTCAGGCTCTGACCATCGTCTCCGGTTACTCAAGGACAGAACCTTCCCCGAGCTGCACCTGGATCTGCAGAGAGTGCTGCAGTCGCTGTTTGTTGTACCTCTGTATGTGATTGTTACCCTAATTCCCTCTTTTCCTTCACTACACTACTCTCAGGCTCTGACCATCGTCTCCGGTTACTCAAGGACAGAACCTTCCCCGAGCTGCACCTGGATCTGCAGAGAGTGCTGCAGTCGCTGTTTGTTGTACCTCTGTATGTGATTGTTACCCTAATTCCCTCTTTTCCTTCACTACACTACTCTCAGGCTCTGACCATCGTCTCCGGTTACTCAAGGACAGAACCTTCCCCGAGCTGCACCTGGATCTGCAGAGAGTGCTGCAGTCGCTGTTTGTTGTACCTCTGTATGTGATTGTTACCCTAATTCCCTCTTTTCCTTCACTACACTACTCTCAGGCTCTGACCATCGTCTCCGGTTACTCAAGGACAGAACCTTCCCCGAGCTGCACCTGGATCTGCAGAGAGTGCTGCAGTCGCTGTTTGTTGTACCTCTGTATGTGATTGTTACCCTAATTCCCTCTTTTCCTTCACTACACTACTCTCAGGCTCTGACCATCGTCTCCGGTTACTCAAGGACAGAACCTTCCCCGAGCTGCACCTGGATCTGCAGAGAGTGCTGCAGTCGCTGTTTGTTGTACCTCTGTATGTGATTGTTACCCTAATTCCCTCTTTTCCTTCACTACACTACTCTCAGGCTCTGACCATCGTCTCCGGTTACTCAAGGACAGAACCTTCCCCGAGCTGCACCTGGATCTGCAGAGAGTGCTGCAGTCGCTGTTTGTTGTACCTCTGTATGTGATTGTTACCCTAATTCCCTCTTTTCCTTCACTACACTACTCTCAGGCTCTGACCATCGTCTCCGGTTACTCAAGGACAGAACCTTCCCCGAGCTGCACCTGGATCTGCAGAGAGTGCTGCAGTCGCTGTTTGTTGTACCTCTGTATGTGATTGTTACCCTAATTCCCTCTTTTCCTTCACTACACTACTCTCAGGCTCTGACCATCGTCTCCGGTTACTCAAGGACAGAACCTTCCCCGAGCTGCACCTGGATCTGCAGAGAGTGCTGCAGTCGCTGTTTGTTGTACCTCTGTATGTGATTGTTACCCTAATTCCCTCTTTTCCTTCACTACACTACTCTCAGGCTCTGACCATCGTCTCCGGTTACTCAAGGACAGAACCTTCCCCGAGCTGCACCTGGATCTGCAGAGAGTGCTGCAGTCGCTGTTTGTTGTACCTCTGTATGTGATTGTTACCCTAATTCCCTCTTTTCCTTCACTACACTACTCTCAGGCTCTGACCATCGTCTCCGGTTACTCAAGGACAGAACCTTCCCCGAGCTGCACCTGGATCTGCAGAGAGTGCTGCAGTCGCTGTTTGTTGTACCTCTGTATGTGATTGTTACCCTAATTCCCTCTTTTCCTTCACTACACTACTCTCAGGCTCTGACCATCGTCTCCGGTTACTCAAGGACAGAACCTTCCCCGAGCTGCACCTGGATCTGCAGAGAGTGCTGCAGTCGCTGTTTGTTGTACCTCTGTATGTGATTGTTACCCTAATTCCCTCTTTTCCTTCACTACACTACTCTCAGGCTCTGACCATCGTCTCCGGTTACTCAAGGACAGAACCTTCCCCGAGCTGCACCTGGATCTGCAGAGAGTGCTGCAGTCGCTGTTTGTTGTACCTCTGTATGTGATTGTTACCCTAATTCCCTCTTTTCCTTCACTACACTACTCTCAGGCTCTGACCATCGTCTCCGGTTACTCAAGGACAGAACCTTCCCCGAGCTGCACCTGGATCTGCAGAGAGTGCTGCAGTCGCTGTTTGTTGTACCTCTGTATGTGATTGTTACCCTAATTCCCTCTTTTCCTTCACTACACTACTCTCAGGCTCTGACCATCGTCTCCGGTTACTCAAGGACAGAACCTTCCCCGAGCTGCACCTGGATCTGCAGAGAGTGCTGCAGTCGCTGTTTGTTGTACCTCTGTATGTGATTGTTACCCTAATTCCCTCTTTTCCTTCACTACACTACTCTCAGGCTCTGACCATCGTCTCCGGTTACTCAAGGACAGAACCTTCCCCGAGCTGCACCTGGATCTGCAGAGAGTGCTGCAGTCGCTGTTTGTTGTACCTCTGTATGTGATTGTTACCCTAATTCCCTCTTTTCCTTCACTACACTACTCTCAGGCTCTGACCATCGTCTCCGGTTACTCAAGGACAGAACCTTCCCCGAGCTGCACCTGGATCTGCAGAGAGTGCTGCAGTCGCTGTTTGTTGTACCTCTGTATGTGATTGTTACCCTAATTCCCTCTTTTCCTTCACTACACTACTCTCAGGCTCTGACCATCGTCTCCGGTTACTCAAGGACAGAACCTTCCCCGAGCTGCACCTGGATCTGCAGAGAGTGCTGCAGTCGCTGTTTGTTGTACCTCTGTATGTGATTGTTACCCTAATTCCCTCTTTTCCTTCACTACACTACTCTCAGGCTCTGACCATCGTCTCCGGTTACTCAAGGACAGAACCTTCCCCGAGCTGCACCTGGATCTGCAGAGAGTGCTGCAGTCGCTGTTTGTTGTACCTCTGTATGTGATT